GTCAGGGAGGAAGGAAGTGATATTTATTGTTCTCCGCGAGACCGCGTCGCCCCTGGCCCGGCCAGCAGCTGCCGTGTAGACGACCCGGGAGTCCTGTCTGCAGGCAGTGTAGATACGTGTAGATATTTGTAGATACTGTAGATATCGCGCCTTCAGCGACTTGATAAACGGTTTCGCCTCTTTTGGAAACTGCCTGCGTGTCCATTTATTTGAGAACAGCTAGGTCGCGCGGGGGATCTCAGGGGCAGCGAATCCGTTGGACTCCGGGACTTGAGGGTCTGCCCAGCTCTAGTCCCCGAAGGCCGCAGGTCGGGCCTTGGGCGGAGCCGGGGGGTCCCTGCAGTGCCCTTCGAGCCCCTTTCTGGAGCCCCTTCCCGGCCACGCCTCTCTCCGTCCTCTCCCCGCCCCCTCGGCGTCAGGCCGGGTCGGGTTGGCTCTTACTGCCCCCTCCCGGCGTTCCCCCGACCCTGCCCGCGCGCCCCTTTCCCGCTCGGACCTGGCAGCTTCACCCCCAGGCATGTGGGTACCAGGGCTCCGCCCAGCCCCAGGTGTGCATCCGGCCTTTTTGCTTAAACTCCTCGCCGGGCAGTTGTCCCTCTTCTAGGACTTGGATCCACGCCCAGGTCCTGTTGTCAGGACCGGTGCCGGTTCTGTGTGCTTTTCCAGGGAAGCTGGGAATGACGGTCATGACAGAGCACTGTCACTGGGGATTGGCAAGGGAGAAGCCTGCCTCTGATGAAGGAAAGAAAAAACAGGCAGTTCTGCTCTCCTCGCATTTCCCCTGGCTGGCCCGGCCCTGCCCGCGTTTCCCCTGTTTATTGACTCTATTCACTGCGAGTGTCCCCACGGAGTGACCTGCACAGGGGGCACAATGACAGTGGTCATGAGTCATCTTGAAACCTGTCTGTGAAGCATTTTTCCCAGGCCAGGTGGTGAGGGACCTCTCCCCGTTAACTCAACACCAGGGATGGGCCAGAGGAACCCTTTGATCCCTCCCTTCCTGCGTCCAGGCAGGAAAAGCTGACAGCCAGTCAATGTCAAGGCTGCTCACTTGGACACAAAGTGAACGGGAAATGCAAGTGGTTGGGGTTTCGTCCTGGTGTTTGTGACCATCGCTGCCACGGGCAATGGCAGCCTGATCCCATCTCTCTGAGGGCATGGCCAGGCATTTCCTCATGTCTGCCCTGGACTGGATGCTTTCTGCCCAGATGTGTTTGCCCTGGGGGGGGGGTGAAGTGACCGAGGGTTTAGAAATTGGATTGCAGAACTGGTGCCATGAAGTGGTCTAGGAAGTGACCAAAGCTGCTGAGGGGTGAGCTCTGGAGCCAGAGCCCCCCCCAAGCCTCCAAGGGTGTGAAGACTCTTGCAGCCTCTGCTCAAGTGGCCAGCAGCTCCGTGGACACCGCTTCAGGGATGCACTCCTAAGGAAAGCCCTGGACACCTGTCCAACCCCACTCCCCAGTGCAGAGGTCCCTCTGAGGGCAGCCTGTTTGGAATTTGCACCACAAATGCACCCACACCCTTCCTTGTCCTGGGAGGCCTGCAGGAGTGGTGGGCTGTGGTTGGCCCTGCAGACCCAGTGTCCCCTGCGGGTGCTGGGCACCCCTCCAGGGCCCACTGTGAGGCCATGGGGTGAGGAGGGGGGACAGAGGGAGAGAACCTCAGTTGGAGAGATCTCCGTTTTGCTTTTTTTCAAAGCTAAAGTGAGTGAATGATGGTGCCTGGTGTTTGCAGACGGGAGGACGCAGCAGCACGCATCTTCGACGTGCAGCTTGCCTCCTTGTGCATGTGACCCCCCTCCCACATCATAACCACTCAACAGGGAGAGCCACACTGCTGTCCGACACGGTGGCCACTAGCCATAGGGGCCACTTATATTTTAATGAAGGAAAACAGGATAAAATTAAACATTGGGTTCCTCACGGGCTACATTCCGAGTGCTGGACACTACAAATGAGGCTTGCCCTGCACTGAAGAAAACCCCCCAGAGGGCATGGTTTTCTCTCCTCTACCCCATGGGTGAGTCTGCCCAACTAAGAACTGTGCCCCGCCAGCACAGCCAGGTTCGGTGAGCCTGAGAGGGGGCGATGAAGGATTTAGAAAAGACAGACAAGAGAAGAAAGCTGGGCGCTAGGTGGGATGCTGCCCTCGCTGATGGAGAGACAGCGCCAAAGCCTGCAAGCCGAGTCTTTATTTTGTAGCCAGATTCCACCAGGCAAAGTAAGGGCGTGGTCAAGATGTTTACAATGTTCTCCCGGGTTTCAAATCTACTCAATTACACGCACCTGATCAAGCTTTGTTTACTTGCTGCACCTCCCTCGGCCCATATCACTCAGCCACGTAGGACCACAGGTTCGGACCATAAGGTCAAGCTTATGACCATAGCCTTTGGCTCTAACTGTGCTGGGACTTGCACGTGGCTTTGCCACGAGAGGATCGTGCCCTCTCATTAGTCCCAGGCTGGAACCTGTCCAAACGCTGTAGCCGCTCTCCACAAACTTTTCATGAATGGGGTGCCTGGGCTGGCCGCTCCTGCTTCACGGTGTGTCGCCAGGCTGTCCCATGCTGCTGCTCACTTGGCAGTTCTCAGTGCTGACCAGCGTCCCGTCTCCTGTGAAGGGCACCTGGTTGTTTGAGGAGGATGCGTCAATGTTCGGCGCTGAGGGCGGGGCTGGCTCCTCCGGGCAGCCTGTGTGCAGGCCATGCATCACCTCACCAGGTTACTGTGCTGTCACCCCACCTTGCATCCTGGGATGGGGGCGGTGAACGAAGGGCTAATTCGGGTTACCCAGCTTCTCCCAATTTTCCAAAGGTACCAGGGCATCTCTCGGTTATTCATTCCTGAGAAGAGTGCTTGGTGACCGCCCCCAGCTGCAGGTTCGGTCTGGCCGCTGCGGTGGGGCGGACCTAACTGGGCCTCAGCCCCTGGACAGTCCTTGACTTCCTGTGAAGCGTGTGTCACAGCAGCTTCCTTTCTGTGACCATCGTCTCCTCGCTTCCATTCCCCTCACTTTGGAGTCCTCTGCAAGCACACCTGGCCTGCCCTTTCTGTGACCCACTGTGCTGTGCAGGGCTTGGGGTCCTGTCCCCCCTCCCCCCTCAAGGGCTCACCCCAGAGTTGTGGATGCCTCCACAGCACCTTCCTCTGGGTCCCCCACTCAGCCCAGAGGCCCCTGGCCTGTCTCCATGTGTCCAGCTGCCAGGACTTGGGAGGACAGGAGTTTGGACTAGAAAGGACCTCCGAGATCTTTGGGTCCAGGGACCCCAGACTCCTGGCCACTTGAAGCCCTTCAAGAAAACTAGACACCCCACGTGTAAAATAAGGGGGGGGAGAGGTAGGCCTGTCCATACCCCTTCACTCTTGTGGGTCCCACATGAGGGACTAGGGAACCCAAGACCCTGGGGTGTGGAGGGATGGCCCCCCAGCAGCCCAGCTCCTGTTCTTGGAGGAGGACCAGCCGGGAGCCACTGCCTTCGGCTGTGGAGCCTCCGTCTGTGACTTAACCACTCCCGCTCCAGTAGGGCTTGGGAAACTCCGCCTGCTGGTGAGGACATCCCGACACAAACGCCTGGAGTTTTTGGGGGGACTCACCAAGTTCCAGGTGCCCTGGGGCTCACAGCCACTGCCTCCTCGCACCTGAGTCTCACAAAAGCCAAGATGTGGGCGCTCTATGGCCCTACAGGACGCAGGGCCTTGCCCACGCTCTCCTGGGTGGTTTGAAGAGGCTCTGGGCCAGCACCCTCCCTTGTACTGACATTAAGTAAAGCTGGTGACGCCCACACCTTTGTAGGAACAAAGAGAAGGCAGCGTGCCGGGCACCGTATGGCACTGCAGACGGGGGCACAGGTCTCT